TAGACGGTTCTGAATCTCTTTCCCTGCCCAGTATGCCTTTTCTTTTTAAGTATCTCCGCTACTTATTATTTATCTACAAATTCTGATTATTTTCCTTAATATTGTTGCAGGTATGTCGGGTCTGGCTTGATCCAATCGAGTATTTTAACGTTAATACAAGATTTTCACATTCTCTCTGTGGTCATTTTGTCAACAAGATGTCTGATGGATCGGTGGAATGCAGCTTTTGTCGTGCAATTTCTGATGCTACGGCAGTACGCACATTCCATCTGAAAATTACTCTTGCGGACATGGGTACGAAAGTTTTAGCATGGTGTACAGGTCAAACTGCTATGGATTTGTTACAGATATCTCCTGAGGAATTTTATGAACTCCCCGAGGTAACATCTTAAACCCGATATCACTTGTCTATTGCAAACAAAATTGTGTTCATATGCTAGGTGGGAATGACATTTATCCCGTTAATATTTTATCCATATGAATAACATATATTATTAATTTTTTTTATTTTAACAATTAATATAAAATATACTTTTATTCTTTTTTAAATATAATTTAATAACTAATTTGTATTTTACAATTCAAAATATATTAAAAGATACTTCAATTTATTGGATACTTTTATTTCTATTTTTAAAAGTTAATTTTTTTTAATAATGATGGGTAAATTTTAGGATGTGTGAAGAATTAGAAAATCAGGGACGGGATCAACTTCGTTCCTTGATATCTTGGTATAGTTGAATATACAAATTTTAGAAATACATTTTAATTTTTCTATTGTTTGGCTTTTGGACACGGAGCTTGTTGATAAATTTAAAGTGTAATTAATAGTTAATCAAACAAATAGTAATTTATTTAAATGAAATTTTATTCACAGATTTTAATTGTGCAACTTTTTAAAACAGGCTTAACAGAAATTATTTTGGCATGTTTTTTTTTTTTGTTTTTTTTTTTTGTAAAACTTGTTGAAATAACACTAAGTTTATAAGGGATAAAAAAAATCAGAGTTTATAAGTTATTTTTATTAGGCCAAGTATGTTCCTTTAAATGCTTTCTTAATTACTTCTTATTTTGGAGGATGCAAGTTCCTGTCTAAATTTTATAGAAAAAGAAATTGCTACTTTTATAATTATCTATAAAAATATGCTTAGATTTTTTATTACTGAATAATCAGATGGTAATCACGAATTCGGAGCTTAAACAATGCCAACTAACAACACTTGAAAAAATACTGTGTTGCAAATAACACATTTTTCTTTGTTTCAGGAAGAGCAATTAATGTATCCTTCGTCGTTAGACAAAGAGAGGTTTATGGTTGCACTAGTAAGTAGTAAGCGAGATGGTTGTATGATAGATGGCCTATTGCCAGAAGATTCAGTTTCGTGGGAAATCACACGAGCATACAAGTGTGAATAATTGTTGAATGCACATAGAAGTTTTCTTGTTTCTGTCCTTCCAATATAGTCGCTGGCACTGAATGCATGTGGTGATTCGCCAAGGGGGCTATCTCATGCGACGTTTCCGAAGGAAAGTGCGAGCTTCAGTTTTGATGTTCGGACAATTGCGAGCATTCTATTTGACATCTTTTATTTTCTATCATATTATTAATATCAATCAATTCTCTTTCCTTTTCTTCTCTCAAAACTTGTTTAAATAATCTTCAAAAATAAGAAAATCAAAATAAATTTTTTCATGTTAAAACTAATTTCTACATAAAATTAAATTAAGATTTTAAAGAAACTAATAAGAAATGATTTTTACAAATTAACTTACACCCATGTTAATCTTAAACTATAATTTTTTTCTTCATTTTTTTCCTATTTTACTTCCTAAAATTACAAAATTCATTAAAATACACTTTTTTAAATACTAATCGATTACAATTTATTAAAAAATATAAAAATCTAATGACATCGTATTTAATGATTCTCTAGTTTTCAACAAATTCAAATTAATAATTTTCAATTAATTTTTTTCTTGGTTTCGTAGAAGTGTTTTAAAGTTTCAAGTTTCGTTTTAGATTTAACTAAATACCTGGTTTAGTTGAGAGTTAAATAAAATATGATGAGTTTTTTTTTTTTCAAAAATCAAACTTGAATCAAAATTTGTTAAAAAATGACAAATTTATATTAGATTGATCTCTCAAAAGATGGGTGTATCAGTGGGTTAAGAAATGACTGTTTTTGGTTGATCCAACAAAATCCATCCAATTTTTTTTTCAAAATAATAAAGTATTTAAAACATGCAAATTTATTTAGAGATAATTACCTATACACTGTCAATGTAAATTTTTTTTACACTAATAACTAATTATATCTTTTAAAAATATCATGTCAGTTGCCTATTTAATAAAATAAAAATAAATAAAATAATTTAAAAGATATGATTGGTTATCAGTATAAAAAATTTTATATTGGTAGTATATGGATAATTAACTCATTTACTTATTTTTAACATATCATTCATTTTACATATTATGCACTTTTAAATTATATAAAAGTATAAATTTATATAGGAAGATTATACTTGCTTCTTATTTCCTTTTCTCCTACTTCCCTCAATACACCCAAATAATCACAATGTAAATCGTCACACATTATTAAAAGCTTTTGGTGGTGGTGATGGGGGGTAGTTAAAAATGATATTAAACTTGATACCAAAGCTCGACTAAAATGACAGGGCACGGGGCACATTTACAAAAATTGCAGTTAGAGATAAATGTCAAGCAAATGCAAAAGCCCCCAATAAATTGAAGTAGACAACAATAACCATTTAGCATGTTACCCAACCTGACAATTAGTCGATTCTTCTCTTAGTGCTGCTGCTGCTGCCGCTAGGATTCTGCTCAGTAAGCATTTTTAAAACGTTTACTAATGCTCGCAACCGGTCCCATATGCCGAGACCATAAAGCGCTTCAACAAGTGACTCCTGAAATTCGAACCCATTCTCCGCAACGGGATACTATGGCACACAAGAAGACCATTAGAGTTTCTATTCACGGTAAAATAAAATATAATAATAGTATATTATGATGGTAAGTTATCCTCACTGACCTGAATAGGCTTAGGTATCTTTGTTTTGACAAATGGCCACCATCGATCTTCAACAACTGCTTTAACAAGACAACAAGCTCGCAAACCTTCTATACCACCAAATCGTCCAAATCCGCTATGTTTTACACCCCCGAATGGCAGGGACTGCAAAATCGTATTGCATAATTATATCGGTAAAAATTAGAGGATAATCTAGGTTAAGTTAAAATTTCCAGGCAGATTGAAAAGATTAAAAAAAAGAAGAAAAAACAGCTGCATAAGTACAGGGTTAAACAGGTTAGCCGTTTCCAAGCTCAGGCCTCTGATAAATTACTTCTTGATAGTTTTAGCAAATCACCAGAAATTTAAGCACTCGTAAATTATTGTTTTTATGTCTTCTATTTCTACCGTAAATCTGTTGTGATCGTTAGGATTACCGCATCTGAGATATTGTCTGCTTTGACACTCATAGGGCCATTCACGATTTTGTCCTTTAAAAGGCACCTCGGTAGAATAAGGAGAGAGGGTATTTATAAAAAACTCTTAGCCTCGACTCTTAAGTAATGTGGGACTTTTAGGAATATCAGAACAAGCCCCCAGTCGATGCTAAGGGACAAGAGTAGCCCAGACCCTCCTTCTAGCGCCAAATGTTCCTACCATAAGTTCGCTGTCATCGTTAGAGTTAACGCAACCGAGATATCGTCCGCTTTGACACTTGTTAGGCCGTCACGGTTTTGTCCTTTAAAAGACGCTTCGGTGGGTTAAGGAGAGAGGATGTTTATAAACTACCCTTAAACTCGACTCTTAAGCGATGTGAGACTTTTAGGTGTACCAGAACAATTTATATTTTTACTAAAAAATGGATCATTATGTTCATGCATTTTCTTTGCAAACCAAACGCTTCCGGTAGAGAAGCAAATTCTGAAACATTTTGGGCTATCATTATACTATTATTATAGTCAAGATTTTGGAAATAAAAAAGAGCAATTTACTGGATGATTAAAGTTCGAATGGGTAAATTGCGAAAATTATATCCTGAGTGGTTAATTTGCCAACAGTCTAAAGTTACAGCAGGTTATTTACAATTTAACCAATATAAAAATAAAAAAGACATCTATTTGAATTAAACATGCATCTTTATCTGATTAGAAACTATATATGCCAAGAGCATAAATTATTTCATACACAAGTAGTTCATGGCGATGCGGACGTTACAGGAAATTAGCAACAGCAAGTCAGTATTATTTTCTCATAATATAAAGTGATAAGCTCATTAACAAGCCTTTAGAATTTCTCTGTACCCTCTTATTTATATGTCGTTATCTTTTGGAACAAAAATCCAGTAGTTGGTTCTTCAGCCAAATTGGCTGACTCCACCATTTCAAATCTTACTTATACTAACTTCCTCATTAGCCCTCTGGTGCAGCTACTTTTTTTTTTCAAATATTCCTTGCTCGGTAATCTCTCTTACCCTAATTAAGTGATTTATTACTATGTAGCAGAAATTATCTAATCTAATACTCTTGAGCAGCGAAATAAATTTACCTGACACATGTATGTTGCTGCAAAATCATTAACTGCAGCTACCCCAACATGTATCTGTGAAGCTATCTCTCTGGCACGACTCTGACTGCCTGAAAATACAGCACAGCCGAGACCATATTTTGAATCATTTGCAAGCCTGACAACCTCCTCATCGGAGCTGAATTTCATTATCGGCATGATTGGTCCAAATGCCTAGTTAGCATTTAATTGCACAGATGAATTTAGTAAGCATTTGCTGAAGCATACAATATAGAAGGGAAATAGAATTTAAATGCATAATTGCGATGCATATGACTGTGACGGGACATGATTACCAAAATTTCAGAAAATCTTAAATGGTTGCAGTTTAGGTATGGAATCTACTAACAGTGAAACTAAGATTTTGTGGCAAAATCAAAGGTGTAAGTGTGCAAAACACGTGGTGTAACGAACTGTAATTAGATGATGAAAACTATGCCCATGTAAAGTGATGTATGAGTGTGTATGTGTAGAATATTTCTAATAAAAATAAATAAATAAATAACATCGTAAAGTAGAAAAGCTAGCAAGTTTTGTTACCTCTTCTTGCATCAGTCTCATTGTGTGATTCACATTCACAATCACAGTAGGGGGGAAAAATTGATCAACTGCATCTTCACCTATATGTCCAAGACTTCCACGGGCAACAATTTCAGCTCCTTTGTCTAAAGCATCATTTACAAGGCCTTGGAGCTTTTCAGAATGCTCATGCATGCATAAAGCTCCCATATCATACTTTCCAACAAGTGGTGGGCCCTGCAAAAAATCAATAACCAACAAATTAATTAAAAATTTGACTTCTTTATACTCGACACTTCCAGTTCTAGGCCAATAGTACATCTTCAATAATCAATTAGCAACGAGTTCTTGTTTTATTGTAGTCCTCAATGTTAATGCAATCTGTGAATGAACATAAATTTCTGATACTTTTATCCCTCCTTTCAGTTAGTATATATCATGAGACCCAGATTTCAGCGCTTTCTGTTTTAAAGGAAAACATTATCTCAGAAGAGTATTGGAGCATGTCAGCAATGCCACGCAATTTGTTCGTCACTAAATTCTCAGATACTATTCATTTTGAAGAGTTCAAAATAAATAGAACACACTAGAATATAAAGCCAGTAATAAGTTATGAAAAAGCAACCTTATCACAATAATGTATGAGCATACATGATTATATGCTTTAGAAGCTCATTATGAAAGTTACACCGAGGGTAAGATTTGTTTAATTAATGAAATGTTATTAAAAACACTTACAGCTGTAACAGACTTGATGATTTTGGTAACTTTACTGACAAAAGAAGAATAAATTTCCCTGTGGACATAAAATCGCTCAGCTCCAGCACAGTTCTGTCCACTTGACTGAAGAACAGCCCTGACAGCAATTTGTGCAACCTATATTCAGCAGACCAAAGCCTGTTAAAACTAAGGTACTCAAGAATGGATATTTCATTAAGCTTGTATGATTAATAATTACATCCAAGTTTTGGGGAATCTGAAGAGGTAGAAAGGATTCGTACATGGTCCAAATCTACATCTTCACAAACAATAAATACATCTTTCCCACCAAGCTCCAGCGTCACTGGTATAAGTGTGTCAGCAGCATTTTTCATTATCTGCATAAAAAGATGAAGCATATTAGGAAAGCACAAAAACTTTTAATTTCATGGGAAATAGGATACCGTCATAAAAAAGAATGGAATGGTATATGGTAAATAATGTAATGATTTTGTTTATGAAACATCATTCTAAATGAGAAATTCAGTGATTTACTACAACATTTGAGGCAAATAGTTTGTACATTTTTTTTGGGGGGGGGGGGGGGTGTTTGGGCTACATACTCAACAGGTGCTCGTCAGACTATTAGTTAAGCACCGACTTTTGAGTTCCTTTATTCATTATCTAAATGCATAACATATTGGTATTTTTGCCAAAATCTAAAAAATTATGGAAGTAATGAATTTTGATACAATTCTAGGTGAGAGCACAGAATGAACTCATTCAATTGGTCAGGGGAATCATACCATCTTACCAACACCAGGTGATCCGACAAATATGACTTTATCAACAGAAGATACTAATGCTTCACCCGTTTCAGCAAACCTAGAAGACGGTCCAATCAATGTCATAGATGATAAAACATCCATAGAACAAAATGAAAAAATAAATGGTAAGACAAATGGGCCTACCCTGTTATCACCTCAACAAGGTCCTCTGGAGCTCCTATAGCAGCAAGGGCTGATTGGATGATCCGGAAGTAAAAGCATCCAGACCAACTTGCATGCTCTGAAATCTACAATAAGAAGCACATGGTTTTATGTCAAATTAAAAAACATAAAAGCAATTTATATTGTTAAATACCAATTATCCTAAAAGCTCAAGCTATTAGGTGGGAGCTCAAACATGGTTTTATGCCTCCAACTCTGACATGATCCTTGTGGAATAGCCTTTTTTGTTTTAATGCATGGACAGTGCACAGGCCTATTTTAACGTGCTGAAATTCATCTCAATAATGACAAAATGGGTGAAAAGGATTAAACCTGGTCCTAGAGACTCAGATTAGTAGAAACCATATCAATCTTCTAAACGGTTATTAGGTGGAAATTTATGAATAGTTTCATTATATCTCTAACAGCAAGAGTAAGGAGTAGAGACATGTTTGTTTTGTGTTTTTAAAAACAAAAAAACTGATTTCAAAACTAATATCTTAATTTTTTAAAACCAAAAGGACAAAACATCTCTAAGTTGTTTTGGCTTTAAATTTTGAGTTTTTTATTATTTGTGTTTTTAGTTGCACTTTCACATCTTACCTCACTTCTATTCTCCAAAAATCAGTTTTTGAAAACTGTTTAAAAAAATGGTTTTTAAAAACTAAAAAACAAAAACACAATCAAACATACCCAAGGTATCACACCATGTAAGAGATTTTAATTTTCTATTATAATTTTATCAGGGAATATAACATTATTGCCATTAAGCACATTTGTAAGCAATGTCTAAAAATAACATAATACACGCACAACAGGAAAAATAATAGTGGATAGGTTGATAGTAACATATTTTATACCTTAATCACAATACCATTTCCAGAAAAAATTGCAGCCAGCATAGGATTAAAAATATTGTGGAAAGGATAATTCCATGAAACAATGGCTCCAATAACACCAAGGGGGTGAAATTCTACTTTGGCTCTCTTATGAAGCATTGATCTTCCAGAAGACCTGCAAAGTTTTTTATCACATGAGAAAAAAGAAAGTGATCACAGAAGTGACTTCAGATAATTTGAAATTTTACTGCAGAGATATTAAAACTATGCATGTAGACCGAAGAAGTTATAATATTCTTTTTTCTTATAAAACAATGCATATCTTAAAGTTATAAGGCTTAATTTTGGTGTAATTGTGTAAAGTAAAGTACAGGAAGAACAGAAATATAATGAAACATATAATCTATCATAATCAATTTAAGTAAAGAGAAGCGTGAACTACTGGTAAAAGGAGTATGGTATACTTACTCTATATAAAAGATATGCACAGAACTACTATCTTATTGTATGGCTCAAATGAAATGAGGAAATATAAAAATAATAGAAAGAAACATTGAAGCATGTACCGGTATTCAGGCTTTAACCACTGCTCACCCTCTGACAGTAGCCAATTGATCTTCTCACATGTAGTCATTATTTCTCCTAAAGAGGCATCTACCATAGTCTTTCCAGTATCACGCGAAGATATTCTAATAAAAGCACATGAATTAGAATGTTACCAACATTATCATGCAAAATGCACAATTTACATCTACTTCGGACCAAATAAATTTAACAATAAGATAACTTAAAACAAAAGTGAAAATATGAAGTCAAGTCTACATCACAAATGTTTCCAAGCAGCATAGAAAAAAATGATGCAATTTCCACAGTCCGAACCACAGAAAAGCAGTGTTCTTACTCGCATATAAGTGCTTGATGTTTAATTATATACTTCAAAAGTATACGCAAAAACAAGCGTCTTTGCTTGAAGCTAGACTTTGCCCACATTTTTTGTGCTTTCCTTACTTTTACCACTCGTTCCTTGACCTATCCATACATGCAAAGCAGTTCTAATTAATCTGGCAATGCTTGTAAATAATAAATAATTTTCTCAAAAACTAGTAACCTGTATTTCAGGAAACATCAGGAAAACAAGTGAGATTATGAGAACAACAAACATAAAAATCAGAGTAATTCCATAGGATTTGTACTTCAACATAGACAACAAAATGAATAATCAATAATTATATTAAAACAGTCCATGGATGTGCTACATGTCAATCATTGACGACTCTACTTCTTGCTCAAACGGTGGTGGTATTCTATTTGGATTGTGTTACATTATCAAGTGCAAGCCGGCACTGTTCTAGTGTAGTATAAAATCTTATCCCGAAGGTAGAAGCTATAACATGTCAGATTTTCTTCAGCACAACCAGCATATTTCTAGCATGGAAATGATGTCCTTGTAGATTTCTAGTCTATTTTGAAACCAGTTTGCACCATTTTAAACGGAAGCTCACACATTCCAATGTACAGAACATAGAAGCAATCTTAACGGTGGACTAACGCTTCATTGGTTTTGAAACTGGTTTCCAAACTCACAAGAATATATATGAGTTTTATTTTTTACCCCTCCACTTCTTTAGCTACGAAAAAGAATCCTAAAAATCGCGCTTCATCAAACACCAATCAGAAAACAAGTTTAATTGAAAACAAAGTGTGCTTCCTAATTAAACCATCGATTGTTATCTTCAGCAAAACAGATACAAATACTACGCATCGTAACCATTAGTCCAGAGTTATAAGAACACATCGTGAGGCTCACTCACCTCTTCAGGCGTCAATGCAGGAATATATCCTAAATATTTCATAGTTGCAGGCTCATAGCACTGAACTATCTTGCCGCCTGATTGCTGCGATGTTCCTCTCGGAGGTACCTGAATCGGAACCAATCACGAATACCAGCGATTGTGAAAAATGCAATTAAACGCAATACATTACCGTTTACCATAACGATTTACACGATTATTTCATATACAATTTGTAAACCAAAACAGAGAGAGAGAGAGAGAGAACTTACGTATATGAAGCTATTCTCCTGCGCTTGGTTTCCATCGTCCAACACTGTCATTGTCACAATTTCACCGTCACAACACTTCGCGTGTGTGTATGTATATAGATAAATAGATAGTTATAGATTGATAGGGAGAGAGAAAGTACCGTCGGAAGTGTCAACGTCGATGGAAGGAACCTTTGGAGGAATAAGCATGAGAAGGAACCTACAGATTCCATAAGCGCATGCTAAAACGAGCAATGGCCACCAAAACGCCATTGGAATTTCGCAGATTCAAAACGCGTCTCTTTCTATCACCTAGGGCTTCGATCGATGTTCTCTAACTCCAAGTTTCTACAGAGTTTGTTTTAAGGACCAAAATGCTCTCACTCGTCGAAGGCGTAAGCTTCGATGTGAGGATGGCATTGGTATTAATAATAACAATCTTAATTAATCTTTTGTCTGCAAGGAGAAAACGAAATAGAAAATTCAAGCTTCACAATGGCACGAAATAAAGAAAAAAATTGAAACAGATTCCATATGCGAAGCGTGATACGTCTTGTCGTTTTTTATGGCACTTTACTTCTCTACCGGGACTCGTATGTTCTCTTTGCATTTTTTTTTTGTTGCGAAGGAAGGGATGATTAAATAAAATCCACGAAAAAAAATATAAAAGAAAAGAAATGGTATTTTGAATATTTTTCTAGAATGTTGTTAGAGACAGAAGTCTTCCCTCCCTCACAAATCTCGTTGTCTTAGCCCCCATCACCCTGAGCGTGACTGTTCTGTGATAAGTCTGAACTGAACCTAACGGTGTGCAAAGTGTCTTTTTCTATCTTATTATATTATTAAATTATATTTTTAGCTATTTATTTTATTTGTCTTTTTATTTCAAAAGATTAATTATGATATTTTATTTTTTAAATTTTGGTTAATTTGGTGTTTATAAAATAGCGATCATTTTAATACAATTTTTTTTTATTATTTAAGACAAAATTTATCTCACTATATTTATTTACATGATAATTATAAAATTTAATTATCTTTTAAACTAAAAAATTATAAATATAGTAAAAATTACATAAAAAAATTAATCTCACAAACACAATAAAAAAATTATAATATTAAAAATTTTGTATTTCTCAAATGCTCATTTGACTATTTTATGTGATTTTTTTTTATCGTTTATGACTTTTTCTATTTCAATATCAATTAAGTTTAATAGTAGTAGTTTTTTTATGTAAGAAAATATAATAAATTTTTTATGGGATGAATGATGAATAAGTAAGCAAAATTAAAAAATGTGGCTTGAAATAAAAAACAATCACAATTTTAAAAAGATTAAAATGAATCTTAAAAATAAAAATAAATAATAAAAAATAATATTAAAAATTAACTAAACTTAAGATTTAAATTCAAGGTATTGAAATTTCAAGATTAAGTATAATACTAGTTGATAAATATTTTTAAATAAATATAGAGATATGAAGTAATTCAATATCATTAATTATTTTATAATTATAATACTAATTGTATGTTTGTTATGAATACACAGTAATAGTTAATTATTAATAATTTGATAAAAAAAAAGTTAATTACTAATTTTTTTATAATGACATTAACAAAATTTCAACCTAGATCATGTACATAATATTCTTAATTACTCAAGATCGAATAATTTTCATGGTTTTAATTAGTTATTAATTTAAAAATTTAACAATTATTTTTTATTATATATTATAAAATCTATTATTTTTACTTTAAGGGGGGTGTATTGGATTAGGATTTTAAAGGACTTTAATATATAAAAGCACGCTTCAAAGGTTTCTTTTCCAAATCCCTTCTTTTACCGCTTTCTGATTGTTGCATTGCATATTTAGAATTTTCATCATGTAAACATTCCGCTTATAATCGTTTCTAATAAATAGGGGTAATTTAGTAATTTTACACTGTTATTTATGAAATAAT